AACCTTTTAGCATATTGATACAAGTAAATAATATTCATTATTTTCTTTTTGTACCAATAGATACAAGAAATGAAATCCAAATCAAACCAAGAGGTAACTGGACTGAGTGCGTATATTTATGTATGGTGTATTTCCTGTCAAGAAGCTTGAATATCGAATCTATATATAGTACACATTTAAAGCATTTAATTTTGTGTTTCTTTGACTTTTGGAGCTGTGGTGTTTATGGTGTTTGCACACAGACAAGATTAAATATATGAATAAGTTACCTCCTAATAAATGCATTCAAAGTAAAATGGTATATGTTTYATTGCAAACTTTGCATTTTAGGGGGTAGAACCAATGGACACAGACCAAGCAACATCCCTRAAAGAGTTTGAAGACATTGTAGTGTCCATTAACACAGAGATTACCAGACTACAAGGCCTTGTTGCTGCTGAAGATGACAAGATGTTGAGATATAAGGTTTGGGRACTCGCTCTCATTGGCTGGTTTATAGTTGGATAGTTGACTGATTGTTTGGCTCAATTGACGATTGATAAGGCTCATTTCCACTGCATATATTGACAATGTAATCACTCAATTTTGTTTTGTTATTTGCAGGTTGAAAATATAAGAAGAAAGCACAATTACCTTCCGCTAATAATGGAACTCCTAAAAATCTTAGCAAACCAAGGGAAACTTGTTCCAATGGTTGAAAAAGTAAGTCTCCATACCCTTCCATCCTTTATGCATCTCTTTTTTTTTTCTTTCTTATCTCTCTTCTTCCATTCACTTATGTAATTGTGCCCCTTTTTTCCTGCTCTGCTTGTCCATGTGCTTCAAGCTAAATCTATCACTGTTACTATTTAAGGCGTGATTTTAGACTATAGCACTTCTATAAGTCTGTGCCAGTTCTCAGAAAATTGGATTTTTGCCTTCTCTTGTTTCTTTTAAGTCTAAATACCAATTTAAAATTAAAAGAATGATKTAATACTTATGATAAATGTCTTGCGAATGAATGTACATGTACATGTATACTTCAAAGATCACAATAAGAGAATAGATTAAGTATGGGAAGTCGCTGGGCTAAATTTTCACTAGGATTTCATACAGCCCTCGAAACCTTAGCTAAGTATTTCAAACAATCAAAATCAAGTCATTTATCACATGGTTGAGACATATGTTTGCTGCCTCTTTTCGTATTTCTGGGGGTTAGAAATTAAAATTGGAATGATATTCCTTGATAATTTCTCTATGTTGTTGGTTACTATTATTTCCGTTTTTCGCAAAAGTCTTTAAATAAGGGTGCAATCATCTAATTTTAGATTATATTTTTATTTTTTTTTTTTGTCTATTTTAGGAAAAAGAGTTACTCAAAGAAAAAAAGTCTCAAAAAGCAAAATAAATCGCCTAAATTCATCAAATGTATTTAGAAAAAAATACAATRCCGTACACAAACTAAAATAAACAGCCATTAATAAACCAAGGACTACTTTTCAGTTGATTTCATTCATTCAGTAATCAGTTTGCTTGATGGTAATTTAGTGTTTTTTTCTCTAATGTCACATAAAACTTGAGGATGTGTCATTTGTAAAAGAGTTTCCTTGAGTGCTAATGGTCGCTAAGGAAACTAATAAAAGATAACAGGACTATTCTTTACTTATAAAAATAACTTCTCAGTCATGTGCCAACCGTGGAAGAGACGTTCTTCCGTTATCAATCGAATTTAAGTATTGTTGGCTTTTCAAGTGTTTATTCAATTGAATAAGCTACTTCTATAACACAAGAGATATCCTTAGGTGCCGGAAAAGTTGAAAGTCTAGGAGATGTTCTTTTTTTTTTGAATAACCCGTCGAGAAGTACAAAGGTTTTCTCAGTAAAGACACTCGAAGGTTGAAAGCCTGTAAAATGTTATTTTGCTCTTGTCAAGCGCAGTAAAAGTGCAGCTGTTTTTAGCGCGTATTCTTGAATATGACCTGATTGCCGCAATAATTTCCTGAATATATCTTTTTTTAAGACAAATATTTGAGATGTTTTTTAAAAAAGTGTTTTTTTTTTAATGTTTTCAAAGACGTTTGTCTGTTTTTTATGAACAGAAAACAGCAAAACAGCTGGGTAAATGGGTGGGAAATACCCCTCCTCTACCTTTGCCTCTTATGGCAAAAACCTAGATAATATTACCTTAACTGAGAGAAATATGTCACATACCTGTACCTTTTAGGGTCGTCTACCTTTCTAAAATGCTCTGAATTGAAGTTTCAAAATTCCTTTTATTACATGTTAGGTTTGTGTTTAGCGCGGATGTCATATTAAGAAACACTCTTGTTTCTTCGTTCCTTTTGGCTGTCACTTTGACTTTCGTTTCGCCTCTGAACTGAACAACATAGAGCTTTACAAAACAAACTGGACACCGCACGACGTATTTCTATAATCCTTATACAGTATATGACAGGGTTTACTGCTCCGCTCAACATAGTGAAAGTCTCGCGTACTGCCAAATAGTATGCAAAACCTGGTTTACTCAATACGTTGTTGTACATAATATGTGCTATTAGAGTKCTCAGAAAGGGAAGATAGCAAATAATAGGTGCAGCGACTACGAAGTACATGTTTACAACCGTAGCTTTGTATCTTAGTACGTTAATTTGCTCATATGAATGGGAATTGGTAATTTGTGCATGTATCTGGGCAGCGTGTCTTCGTATGGTATGGGAAATCTTCGCTATAAAGAAGGTATTTATCAACAGGGTGAGCACGCCAACGGAAACGTCTAATGCTAGGGCTTGGAACTTTGTTAAAAATCTGATAATACAAAGAAAAATCCC